ACACACACACACCACACACCACACACACAGACACACAGACACACAGACCCCCCCCCCCCCCAAACTGGCCCCACTGTCAGTACCAGACTCCAAATCTCAGAGTATAACAAATCCACTGCAGATCTGATGAAAGTGTCCGACATACACACCTTATGGAGATAGATCTGTCTCTTTGTCATTTATATATTCATTTTATACCTCTTAATGTGTGTATCTGTATGTACTGTATGTGTCTATGTATGTACTGTATGTGTATATTATCTGTATGTACTGTATGTGTCTATGTATGTACTGTATGTGTATATGTATCTGTATGTACTGTATGTTTATATGTATCTGTATGTACTGTATGTGTCTATGTGTCTATGTATGTACTGTAGTTTATATGTATCTGTATGTACTGTATGTGTCTATGTGTCTGTATGTACTGTATGTGTCTATGTGTCTATGTATGTACTTGTATGTTTTATAGTATCTGTATGTACTGTATGTGTCTATGTGTCTATGTATGTACTTGTATGTTTATATGTATCTGTAATGTACTGTATGTGTCTATGTGTCTGTATGTACTGTAATGTGTATCTGTGTCTGTATGTACTGTATGTGTATGTATATAGATATTTAAGTGGGTGTTCTGGTATGTATGTTTAAGTTTTTATATATTCTTATTCTTTGGGACGGTGAGAAACAGCATTTCTATCTCCCTGTTGTACACCACACACACACACACACACACCCACACACACACACACACACACACACACACCACACACACACAACACACACACACACACACACACACACACACACCACACACACACAACCACACACACACACACACCACGACACACACAACACACACACCACACACACACACACCCACACACACACACACACACACACACACACACACCACACACACACACACACATACACTGACAATGAATTTACTTTGACTTGCTATTATTTCTGTGAACAGTCTGAGTGTAAATGTGTAATATTTGAATGTGAGACACCCTCAATTCATGCGCAGATGGTTACCCAGAATCACACGGTAGAGAAAGGGCAAAGAAAGCGTGGGAATGAGCTCTGGAAAACCACTGGACTTCAGTAAGAACCATCACTACCTCGGTGTGAAAACACAACTAATCCATGACCAATGTTCTGCACTCGTTTGAAAGGTTTTGTAGAAACAGATCGAGCTGCAGTGTGATAACAGATGATCTGTCCGGTGTAGCTCACACTGTACAGAGGGTGATCCCAGTATAAATACTACCAGCGTTTTCGGCGCTTTGGTGACGGAAGATTGTCAGATTTCACGCCAATAACTCAGAACTCAGATTTCTCTCACCAGTTAGTCATGCATTTGTTTTATCCCCCTCCCAAAATACAGGCACATACTAGTATTAATAAAGTAAAATGTATCATGATTAATCTAATTTGACTATATTGAATGACGTACTGCTTGATTACACTCGTCACAATGCGGTTTGTCTTGTTGTGTCGACCCACTTCGAGCCGTGATTTGGAAAAGCGGCATATAAATAAATAAATGATCATATTTATTATTATTTGTCTGAGCAGCACAGACAGCAGCCAGCCGCCCTCGTCGCTTCAAACGCTCCCAGATTACATTTCAAGACACTAACCAACAAAGACGCCGTGCAATAATCGTGTTTGGAGAGAAAGCTCGATGCGTTACGGGGACAGTAACGTGATTTCGGGGAGCGAGAGTGATTATTCAGAGCTGCAGCAGCACTGATCTCTGCAGGATATTCTGCTCACGTCTCAGTGTTTCCTCTCGCCTGCGTCACTCCTCCTCTGCAAGGCCGGGGTCACTTTGGAGCTCCGGCAGAACATCATGCAGGGGGGGAAAGGAGCCATTGAGAAAGATATCTGCAGGATTTGTGAAGTGAGCAGAGGAGCTGATTTCTGCTTCATGTTATTTAAGATTCAAGCTATCTGTTGAAGTGTTTGACAGATGACACACGTTCCTCTTTAAACCTGAGCCAATAATCCCAAAGCCAAAAGAAAATGGCATTTGTAGCTTGTTAAAAATGTCGTTTGAACTGTTTTTTTTTTACGTTGTTATGGATGTGATTTAGGGCTACTCTCATCATCAATTATTCTGCAGATTATTGGGATTATTTCTTGTTTCATTGATAAAATAAAAAGGATAGAAAATAATGAAATATGTCCATCAAAATGCAACGTAACTCAAGGCAAATTTGGCTAATTTTAAATAATAAAAAAACCCTCACAATGTATTGAATAACTATGAATAATCTGTTTTAAATTGGCTTGATAAGAAATGGTCGTTTTACTATGAACATTTTCATCCAAGTTTCGGAAAGGTCAAAGTAAATCAACGCAAATTTGGCTAATTTTAAGGAAAATATCGCACATTATGACAAAACGTCTCATTGGCTTAATAAGCAATCTTTGGCGAGTATTACTTTTATATATAAAAAGGTCAAAAATGTCTTTAAATGTCACTCTGATATGATATAAAACAGAGCAGCGGAGCAGCACATATAATTGGGGGTTCTTTTTCCTTCAATCAACTCATAGATCCAATCTGTTAAAAGGAATCTCTGCACAGAATCTCGTAAACGAATCCTTTTAAATGTCATGTTTACTAGAGGTGTGTGTACAGCATCTAACAAACGTCACACACACACACTGTCTGCGCATCCTCTGCACACACTGTACATGTGTGTGTGTGACGTTTGTTAGATGTGTAGGAGGAGGAATGCTGAGGTCCTTCTCTTATCTTCACCCTCTGTTTCACCCAGAGCCTCCGAGGTGATGCAAGAATGTATTCAGTTCATCGCCGGGGTTTATTTATAGCTCGGATTATGGTATTCTGTATTAATAGAGACGGTGACAGTCCTGCAGATGACAGGTGTCGAATCCCAACCTCCCAGCATGCACTGGGGCACATTTCTGCTGCAGGACTCCCCAGTGACCTTGACAAGGGCAGATGGAGAAGCTGGTCGTTTTCTTCATCTGATATTTTCTAGGCTTTTTCCCATTTCAGTGATTCTTTATGGGAGAAAACTCAGTGTCACCGATCTGTCTTAAAGAGGCCCTATCATGCTTTTTGGGGTCTCCTCTTTCCTGTAGTGTGTTCTATAGGTTTTGGTGCATGTAAATGGTCTGCAGAGGCTCAAATCCCTGTGTTCCCTCTCCCTCTGTTTCTCCCCCACACACTCCCCCATGACATCACTATGTAACACTCGCGCTTCTATTGGCTAGCGCTCCAACACATTGTACGTGATAGGCTAAGAGGCGGGACATCTCTAAGCGGTTGACCAATCACAACAGAGCCGGCCAGCTAACCAATCAGAGCAGACTGGGCTCTGGTTTCAGACAGAGGGTGAAAAGAGGTGCAGCAGTAAGAGCTTTGCAAACTAAAATTCATCACCAACGACTGTGATGATTTCGTTGTATGTTTATTTATTGTATTATTACGAATGTATGATGATAGCGTGAGGTATAAATGTTAATTGTCTTTCTTTTATCTTGTTAGTTCAACGTTTTTTCTGAAGGGTAAAATAACTTTCAAACTAACCCTGCAGCTGAACCCGCCAAAAAAAAAGAAGATATTCAGATCTATGCATCAGTTTCTTTCTGCATATATTATAAACTAGAATGAAACAATGATGTTGCATAAGACCGCGAGCACACACCTAAACACACACACACCTAAACACACACACACCTAAACACACACACACCTAAACACACACACACTTACACACCACACACACACACACACACACACACACACACACACACACACACACACACACACACACACACACACAGCACACACACACACACACACACACACACACACACAACACACACACACACACACACACACACACACCACACACACACACACACACACTAAGTGTGGCCTTGATAGAGGTGCCCAGCCCTTTGAGACAATTGGGTTAATAAGAGCAGCTGAAAATACTTCCTCTCGCAGGGTGAGTCACCTCTGCAGTGGCACATGGTGATGGAGGGTGAGGGGGGGGGGGGGGGTTAACTGAAGCTGGTGCTAAATGTGATCCATGACCATGTGTGGACTCCAGCAATCACACATCTGTCATGTTAACACACCAGGTCTCTAATTGAATCTAAATCATGTTTAACAAGCAGGAAAAACAATGCATTTTATAGGGATTTTGGATAAAGAACTAGCAGTACGTTTAATGTGTTTCCTAATGCTCTTACTGCAGGGTTTACCACACATAGACTTTAATTGGGAGGGCCGCCCCGGGTATATTAACGTCCGTCAAAGTATATTTCACGACCCATTTACGTTTAAGACGCCATGCACGATCGATTAACTAGTGGACAACGGCCCCTCCTTTACCTGTTTGCTCGCTGTCGCGTGAAGGGTCTGCTTCATGCGCTCCGCAGTAACCCCCGCTGCGAGGCTCCGGTTCATGAGCGTGCTCCACTAGCACCCACCCCCCCCCCCCCGTTCTCGACTACCCGCCACAAGTATATTTCAGATCTGTGGGAAACACTGTAATGTCTTTCGTTTCTGTAAAGCACTTTGAATTGCCTTGTGTTGAAAGGTGCTGTATGAAGTAACTTGCCTCGCCTCGATGTGCATGCTGTATCCAGGTGTTTGCTTAGAGGGAAGTCTTTAAGTTAAGGCTGCAATATGGACAAGAGCAATATCCAAAAAGAGGCAACACGAGAAAATATCTAAATGTAAAAGTAATTCAGTAACGTATGGAAAGAAATGTGTTCCTCTCGTAAAGAAAAACATAATAACAATTACTTATCATTTTTAAATCTTGTAGTCCGATAACAAATCAAAATAAAAACTCAGCTCCCTGATACTCTAAGCAACACAACAATATAACTTGCAACAGATATTCAAGTGTTTTGAATTCAGTCTTTCTGCTGCCTTCAGTATAAAAACAATGCCTTTCAACATCAAGCCTTCATCAAGACCTTTTTTTAAGGGTTTGTTTAAGGTCCAACATGACTTAGTTTAAAGTAACGCAGACGCTCGTCCTACCTGCGATCTCCACGATGTCTCCGGGCACGATGTCCCGAGCTTTGATCCTCTGAACCGTCTTCCTGTCCTGACGGTAAACTTTCCCCATCTCCGGCTCGTACTCCTTCAGCGCCTCGATGGCATCCTCAGCGTTACGTTCCTGCAGAGAGGGAGGCGTTCAGAGAGGAGGACATCACATACGCTACACTCTATTGTCTAAGAACTGGATATCATAGCATCTATGTTTTACTGGTTTTGAAGGCTGTGTTACAGTAAAATCATGTTATTCATCTAAAAAGGAGCCATGAATGTCAGAAAGTGGTGATTTCTGCTGTGAAAATACAGTCCTGATTATTGTGAAGGGTGAAATATGAGTCAAGGAAGACCTCATTACATTTTGGAGTTGATCCGAATCACTGGGCGAATACACGTTATTTTTGCATTTTCCTTAAAATGAGGAAATAGGGCATTTCTGGTGTGTTCACTTGGTGGCGGAATAATTAGAAAAATGAGTTTGCAAGTTGAAAAAAGAAAATCTAAAATGGTGACAGTGAATACAGAAATACAAAACATCTTCTGTCTAGAGTCAATGTTGTTTCCACATGATTTAAGCCTCTTAAAGACACTGATGTCCAACTTGGGAATTTCAATCATTCAAGGTGCACCTGAATGCACCATCTGATTTTAGGTTTTGAACATTTTGATGTTGGGCAAAAAAAAAATCGGAGTATATTACAATTCATGGGGGGTATACACAAGTTATTAACAGCTTTTATTGACATTGCGAGATAGGGCAGTGTTGCATTTATGTGGTGTTAGAATAATCAGAAAAATTAGATTCTGACTTGGTAAATTCACCCTTTAAGGTCGCATTCACACCAGCCTTGTATAGTCCGGTTGAATCGAACCCTGGTGCGTTTAGCCGCTTGGTGCGGCTCGTTTGGGTCGGTGTGAACGCAGTCCGAGACCTCTGAAGTGAACTAAACAACCGGACTCTAAAAAGAGGTGGTCTCGGACCGCTTGCTAGTGAACTCTGGAGCGGTTCATCTCTGGTGTGAATGCAGTCCGCACCAAAACACAGGAAGCGTAGTATTTACGAGTTACAAGAACGCAGATTTCTTCAAAATCTTTAGTGAAAGAGTGAAGCAGAATGAAGTGTTGAACAGTGTTGTGTAAAGTAAAAATGCTCCGTCAACTATACATAAAAGTCAGAGCCACCTGTCGTCGGTGAAACCTCCTCCTGACTACAGAACGTCTCTCATTATATGTGTTATAATGTTTTTTAACGCATGTCGTCTGATTATATAATCATATGTGCGGGCCACTGGAGTCTGTTGATGATATACTCCCCAGATTAACAGCAGTATGAAAATAACCTGCCGATGCTCCATGGCGGAGGCTACGGTAGAAATTGCCGGGATTTGCGTTTTTACCCCCTTAATGTCTGACCAATGGTTGAACAGCATTTCCGTTCACATGACTTGTGTTTAAAGTTTATAGTCCGTTTGAGTTTTGCCCGTGTGAACTCAAACCAAACCTTCTGAAAAATGAAACAATGTAACAAACTGTCGACTGGTGCGCACCAGAGAAGCGGACTATTACGTGTGAATGCGACCTAAGTCCAACAAACATATATGAATAGATATTTTAACGTGTTATTCAAACACTCTGAACAATAATTCACTAAGAGAATGGAAAATATAGCTATAAGGATTAGAAATTAAGTTCAAATACGTCAAATAAATCCTACAACATGATGTCTATGATTAGCATTTTCCTCTCCTTCTTTATCTCCTTCTGTCTGTATTTTGTTTTTTGTTTTGTCTGCCCTATTTCCATTTACCTATTTCTTTAAAATGCAAATAAAAAACCAAATAAACCAAAGCGCCTGCTCACCTGCCACACCCCGACGATGGCGTTGGCGATAAGAATCAGTAAAATCACAAACGGCTCCACGAAGGCTGTGATCGTTTCCTCGCCCTCCTCGAACCACGCCAGCACCTGAACACAGAGACACACTTTATTAGAAACACATTTAACAGAATAAACAGTGATAAGAGAACATGTCAAAATCCAGACAGCACAAGCAGAGGTGTTCATAACCCATAAAAACATTCATATAAAAACCCTCCTTTCTAGATTAAATTATTGAATTAGGGACATGAACTGGACACATTTGTTTTTATATCTTAAAAAGGCACCAGTGTTTATTTTTGGGAGTTTTTAACCCTTCTATTGTCTTTGTGTTCCCCCCCTTACTTTAGTATCCACGGTCAAATTTGACCGGTCCTGTTTTAACTGCTATTACATTAACACAAAAACCATTAATCATCACCAAATTTCATTTAACACCCTTTCAAACTGTACATATTGTATCAGACTACTGGTACACATGAACAACTGCAGTAAATATACAAAGAACAGACACTGAACATGTATTGGGTGTGCCAGGTGTGATCCATGTGGGGGGATGGGCACATAAGAGCGGGAAATGTGTCAAATTGTTCTCTGTGTGTGTGTGTGTGTGTGTGTGTGTGTGTGTGTGTGTGTGTGTGTGTGTGTGTGTGTGTGTGTGTGTGTGTGTGTGTGTGTGTGTGGTCGGAGCCCTCCCACTGAGGGCGAGGGCCCAAATTTGGTCTCGAGTGGTGCTCTGTCCCCTCGTCAGACAGCAGACACTGACACCTCCGTATCACCCCACACATAAATTATTCCCTAATGGAGCCTGTCCATGGTCACACCCACACACAGTAGGAGTTAACTCTTACTGGCTGCTATACACACACACACACACACACACACACACACACACACACACACACACACACACACACACACACACACACACAACACACACACACACACACACACACACACACACACACACACAACACACACACACACACACACACACACACACACAGCACACACACACACACACACACACACACACACACCACACACACACACACACACACACCACACACACACACCACGTCAACATATTTCTTCCCTTAATCCACTAAACGTTAGCTAGCTAGCTTATGTTAGCATCACATAATGCCTCATTTGCATATTTAAACATTACATAACTTGTAATACAAAAGATATTGTCTTACTGTCATTATGAACTGGGTAAGTGTCATGATGATATCTATTAGTTAAATTGTTACCCTATCCACCTGTGTATGTACGAAATGCATGAATATACACTTTATTACTAAAAATATGCTTTTAAATGGCATTATTTTCTGATTTATGGAGTGATACAAAGAGAAATATTTTACTCTAATATGTCAACAAAATGAAACAGAATTTTTAAACAGGCTTTAACAATGTTACCATTTTCTGACTTGAAATGTATCCGCAAATTAGCCTGTATTTTAATAAGATAATGCTCAATTGCATATTTTTACAAGACGATTACAGAAAACCTGTAAGTACAAAAGTTAAATGTCTTCATGTCATTAATCAACTGTGGACATTTCATAGATATATCTATTAGTTAAATGTTTCACCCGATTCACCTGTCCATGACTTGCTGCACAGACTAAAAAGTGCTGCTTCTTTATGGCACTTTTTCCTCACTTTAAGAAGTGCTTGCTCATGATGCCATTACATAATGTGATTAAACATTTAACTGTCTCGCAGTGAAAGTCAAAGAAGGGGGAATGTGTGTGTGTGTGTGGGGGGGGCGGGGGGGGGGGGGGGGGGGCTACTGACACAGCAACCATGCTTGAAATGTCTTACTGTGCACATGGTGAGAGAAACTCAATCTGCTTCTGTCACCATTCCTCAGATGTCAACTGTTCATTCTCTAATAAGTGTGTGTAACCTCAGCCGGGTTAAACACACTGAAGACGTTCACACTTCAGCACCATGCACTGCGCAAATCACCCCCGACACTTGGGGTTTAATAATAATCCCGTCTGCAAATGTGTCTTCACATAAACACTCCTTCACCCCGAGGTGGGGATGGGAAGCTATTTGTGGGACGATGGGCTCTCCTCAGAGTCACAAACAAACATACTAACACTAGGAGCATGTCATTACATTTTAATACTACAATTAGTTTTGACGATATGATTAGTTCTACACAATATATGATCTTTTAATAGATGATAGATTTTAAGATACTGTTCCTTTTAGGGCAGGCAGTAGTGAAACACTCAATTAAACTTGTATTTGACTCAATTTTCAGGAGATTTCTGGTACTAGTAGTTACATTCATATGTGTTTCAAGGAGTTTAATCACATTAATGTGTCATTTTATGTGTAATTACTACAGTTTTGGTCCATAAAAGTCAGAGCGGTACTTATTTTCTTGCTTCTCTACTGGAATATATGGAAGAATATTAGGGGGAGTTATCCCTCTGCCATTTAACACACACTACAATAACAATCCCATCTGCAAATGTGTGTTAACATACACACTCCTTCACCCTGAGGTGGAAATGAAGAGCCATTTGCAGGATGCTTAACGTAATGTTTAGCTTATAGAGAAATAATGTAGGGAAATACTCACAAAAGATATACACGCGGCCAGCAGAAGAATTCGAACCAATAAATCTTCAAATTGTTCAAGGACAAGCTCCATCAAAGATTTCCCTGCAAAAACATAAAGTAGGTTATAAAAACCATCCATTACAGAGACTGGTTGTTATCATAAAATGACAGTAAGAGACATGTAGTGCTTACCTTCTTCTGCTGGTAACTCTGTGTGTGGAGATCCAGGGAACACGCAGGAAATGAAAGAAAAACAAGGTAAGTTTAGTATAAAAACTATTGCATAACACACAATGACAGATGGAGACAAGCACCTCCTGTTTCCTGATGGGACGCTGACTCCTACAACAAGAGGAGGGCCAATATGTTCCCTTAATTGGAGCTCAATTACTCAAATTAATTGGAATCACAAGGGAGTAGCGCAGTGAAAATGTATTTTTTGTAGGTTGGCCCTGAAGGCAGCATCTCCCTTGTTCCCTACACAAAAAGCCAATGTGATTTTGGATTATTGCAAAAAACACATTTTGTTCAGCAGGATAATCTCCACATATTAACACCACTTGATGTTGTTTGAAGTAAAAAGCTAATGTTGGGCTATAAAGGAACTACAGCACGGTCACATGACTTCAGGTCACCACCGCTAAGCTAAAGGAGGCTAATGTTGGGCTGTAAAGGAACTATAGCACGGTCACATGACTTCACGTCACCACCGCTAAGCTAAAGGTGGCTAATGTTGGGCTGTAAAGGAACTACAGCACGGTCACATGACTTCACGTCACCACCGCTAAGCTAAAGGTGGCTAATGTTGGGCTGTAAAGGAACTACAGCACGGTCACATGACTTCACGTCACCACCGCTAAGCTAAAGGTGGCTAATGTTGGGCTATAAAGAAACTACAGCACGGTCACATGACTTCACGTCACCACCGCTAAGCTAAAGGTGGCTAATGTCGGGCGTGATGACATTAAGTCGTCTCATTTAGACACTTGTTAGCAACCGCCGTTTGTAAACAAAACATTCACAATTATCCTCATAGTGGAAATTCACCACAATCACTTATTGTGAGTTTGTTTAATCAGGTCCAGTGATAAAATCTCACATTGTCCCAAACAGTATCAGGTTATACTTCTTACAGAGTGGCCTTTAAACCCACTCCCTTAACCTTTAATACACAATAGGCACAAAATAAAAAAGAAACTCCAATCAATGTAAAGGTCAATGAGATTTAAAGGGGGGTTCCTACCAGGTGTAATTCATATAAAACAGCTGCTAAAGCCTGTCACTATGACCAGGCCAAAATAAATCCCAATATTCTCCCAAAAACAATCAAAAGATTCACAAAACTCTGCATTTTCCCCATATTTAATGCAACAACGAAATGCCTTTTAATGTTTTAGGGATATTTAAAGAGTCTTAAGGATCTTTTGTCACACAGTAAGTTGAGTGCGGTGTATTTTCATTAGCAGGTTAATGGTGAAAATCGTTGGGTGACTTTAAAAAGCCTCCCACCTCGCAATGATTGTAAAATGCTGGAAAATGCTCAAAATTCTGACTTAAAATCTGAAAATCTCAAGAATTGTGACTTTTTTCTCAGAACTCAACCAAAATATCCCTTTTGATCGGATCTGATCAGATTTACATGTGGCCCTAATTCTCTTCCGTAGAAATTGGTATCTGTAACCGTGATATTAATATAAAATCCTACAACGTCCCATCACTTACTAACATTAGTATCAACAGAATGGCATATTAATCCACTCCCTTAACCTTTAATACACAATGGGACAAAAATAAAAAAGGAAACTCCAATCAATGTAAAGGTCAATGTGATTCAAAGGGGGGGTTAGTATATCCTCCATGACCTCCCAGGTGATATTAATATAAAACAGCTGCTAAAGCCTGGAACAAGAGAGATTAACTTCACGGATAACGTTACTGAAATCATCCCGTGGACGCTGTTCAAACTCTGTCCGCACGATGTGATGCACTTCAGCTTTGAGAAACATCCAACAAGGTTATCGTGTGACACCATATTCTACGAGTGCTGCCAATAACTTCACAGTGAGGGTGCTTTTAAGGCAATAAACTACAGGCAAAAACATGAGATATTGACTCATTTAGCTTCAATAACTCTTTTCTTTTAGACTAGTTCGGGAGAAAAGCATCCAAAATGCACATTTCAGGTATTTCTAAAAAATGTGTCTGTAGATTTCACTTAAACGCTCTAAAAGTTAGCATTAGATAAAGCCCAATAATCATATTTAAGCATAAAATGTCTGAAAAATAATTGTCATAATGTACGTAATCAGCTAGGGAAGTTTCATGGTGATATTTAATAGTTAAAATGCTCACACTGCCATGATGACCTTGATACGTTTTATGTCATTGCCCTATTGTACAATAGAAATAATTTACCTCAACTGTTATGGACCTATTGTACTAAATATGATAACGAACTCAATACGTTATCGACTTATCGTAAAATGTTTTAATACTATCGGTATCTATTTTACCAACTCAACATACAATATATGGACATGACATCAAGGATTTCTTATGCCGTTACTGACTTATCGTACGATATAGAGACATGACCTTAATTACTTTTTTTTTAATAGACTTATTGTTAGATATATGGACATGACCTTGATCATTTGTACGTTATTGACTTATCGTACAATAAAGGGAAATACTCGATACTTTTTAACTTACAAACTTATCGTAGGATATTTGCACATGTTCGCGATAACGATAACTTTCTCGTACACTATATGAACATGACTTTGATTATTTTAACGCTACAATCTTGTCGTACAATATGTATGGACATAACTTTGATTATTGATATGAGATATGCAATATATGAGTTATTTTAGAATATGGATAAATTACCTTTCACGTTAACAACTTATCGTACAACAAGTGATCATGACCTTGATCATTTTAACGTTATCAACTTGACGTTAAATGTATGGACATGACATCAAGGATTTATTACATTATCCACTTATAATTACAGGACCTTAATTGTTTTTAAAATGTGCGCACATTATTGTAGGACATATGGAAAATACCTCTTTCTATGTTAACAATTTATTGTTACAAATATGTGACCTTGACCATGCCGACTTCAATATTGCTGCCTGAGTTTCCCTGTTATTAAAAAACCTGGGAATTTTTGTGAACAGAGCAGGATGTGATTTACTGTTTTGATCGTACGATTATTGTTTTATTTATACGTTACTTAATGGATATTGAGCCTACACATAAACTCCCATTAAAGCCCTAGAACATTCTGAAGAATAAAGTTCATAGCTCTTTGAAAGGGTGTACTTGAATTATAATGCCATTAAATTATCATTTTATGATCCAATGGGCTTAAAATGACAGAAATATCGCAATAAATGATCGGACACAATATCGTATAACTTAAGTAGCTATCTTGATGTGACTTGACACAATGTTACATTGATGTTACTAAACATTACATCGTCACAGTGTTCAACAACGTTACGATAATTGTACAATACTTAACATTTTTGTTACCGGAGCCCAAGAGGGTCCATTTAATTAGGGTATTAAAACAAAATAATCCCGATAAAGTTCTAGAATATTCTGAAGAAAAAAGTTCATAGCTCTTTGAGAGGGTGTGCTTTTATTATCATGATATTATATGATCATTATATGGGCTTAAAATAATAATCGCAATAAATTATTTGACAACATATCGTCTAACTTAAGTAGTTATCGTGACTAGATACAATGTTGCATTTAGTTACCATACCTGACAACTATATGATACTGTTGCCATGCCTTAAAATGTGCCAGTGTTTAACAATGTTACATTAACTTATCATATCTAATGATGTAACAATCTGAAAATAATAATAACATTTCAATTAGAATATTTCAACCAATAAAATCCTATTGAAGTTCTAGAACATTCTCAAGAAAAAAGTTAATTGCTCTTTGAAAGGGTGTGCTTTTATTATCAGGCCATTATCTGATTGTAATATGTTAAAATAGGCTATAAATAATAATCGCAATACATAATTGAAGTAGTTATCGTGACATGATACAATGTTGCATTTAGTTACCATACCTGACAACTACACGATACTGTGACCATGCCTTACAATGTTACATTAACTTATCATATCTAATGTAACAATCTGAAAATAATAATACACTTATAATATGCTTTCTACACGACGGGAGACCCTGGAGGTGACGTCGGCTGTAACCCCTCACTGAGGCCGGCCATCAGAGAGCCACCGGCCGATGCTCCTCATGACTTTTCCCCCATATCCTGCTCCATATCCTGCATACTGATCTCACACCGGCCATGCGTGCTGCGATGACAAGACATTTCTGAGCCAAGTCTCATTCACGGCATGTTACCCATTCACAGTGGTTCAGATAAAATACAAAAAAAGGTGCTGTTTTTTTACCGTTTAGGCCCCATTTGTCCCTGAGTCGCTTCACCTCGTCCAGGGAAAGTCCTGTGCTCTCATTGACGCAGAAATGACTGTAAACTTCTTCCACACTCTTGGTGTGAGAGTTCTCCATGGCGGCTGCTTTCTCCCACGGCACAGCTTGGTAGGTCTCTTTAAAAAACAAACAGTTAAATTAAATAAAAAGGAGTTTTCCCACTTGGATAGATATCGACGGATTCGGGATTAGTGTCCCCCCTCTTGTGATTCTTTTTTTTCTCCAATTACGCACAAAAAACGCACAAAACGTGGTGAGCTCCTGGTCCCTGTCTGTCTGCGGTGGAAATGCTCTCTTATGTCCGGAAATGGTGCAGCAGTGTCCCGCAGGCTGCATTCACCCGGTTCAGTGCTGTGAGTAACCGTGCCGTGCCGTGCCGTGCCGTGGCTCCTGAGTGTGGCCGCTGTGGGTGCTGCTGACAGTGACAGCCGGGCTTTATCTCCTCGCTGCTGCCCCTCTCCACTGCGCTGCATGTGGACTCATATCATTGGACGAGCCCAGGAAGCGACGTTCAAACCGAGGGAGAAAAAACCCAGGAAGATAAAAAAAAGTGGAAGACATTTATCCCATGCAAACACTGGGGCTTCCGCTTCATGCAAACCAGGAAGTTAGGGTAACAACACTATAATAACATGCAAAAAAAAATGCAGGCGTGAAGTAAATAACTTAACATAATAGGCCACATTTAAAAATAACAATAAGTAAAAAAACTTCTGACAATGGGACAGTTTAATAAAAAATTGTTTTAAAATATTGTTAAAAATACAATTAATACATATTATTAATTAAAAGTATATAATATTGTTTATTTTAAGTTAAATTAAATGTGTTCAACAAAAAAATGTATTAATATAAAAATAAACAATAATATAAAAAAATGAATAAATAGGGGTTTCATTATCAAATGATAGAACAAAATGGCAAATGTAATCAACAAGTATATCATGCATTTAATGTTAAAGTCCTCTACAGATCAACATGATGAATTGATATAAGTACAAATAAATAATAATGATTATTTAAAATATAAAATATAGGTAAAATAAGAAAAGTTCTTCTTAGAATTTATTCTTAAAGTTTTATCACCTTTATTTATTCATATATTTATATATTATATACGTGTATCAGTTTAAATACATTCTTTAAATAGAAATACAAATCCCATGAAATTGGGGGTAACTTTATAAATAAATATAATACCTGATCAAGTTAGATGCCGCCTATCACAGTGCGCTGACATGTGTTACTAACTGTAAAGCACTGACTCATCTCTGTACCCTGTATGCCAGGGCAGGTCTGCCTTCACAAAAAGAATGGAAACTGAGCAATTTGGTTCCACTGCCTGTTTTTAAAGCTTGGATAGGTGCTATGCAATCTGATACTGTTGGTGCCTGTAAAAGTCGTTAGGTATGTAAATTGTAATCCCTGTATCTAGTATGTTGTATGATGTCCTTTTTGTTTTTCTGTTGTTTTCTGTTTTTCTGTCTTCATGTGGAACCTACTTGCAGCAGGTCTCTCTTGAAAAAGGCTGATCCACTGGGCTCAGTGGGCAGTGTGCTGGACTTCAAATCAGGGGATAGCAAGTTTGAGTCCCACTGCAGTCAGCATGTCGTTGTGTCCCTGGGCAAGACACTTCACCCCAAATTGCTCCTGTGGGGATTGTCCACAGTACTGAATGTATGTAAGTCGCTTTGGATAAAAGCGTCTAACAAATGACATGTAATGTAAAAAGAGATCGATGATCACCTGGTTAAATAAAGGTTTGAAATGAAATAATGATAATAATAAATATTAAAATATTGATAAAAAAGGAAAATGGACACCCTCTTTGACCATATATTTAAAATATATTTATTATTTCTTTTTCATTTCAGTTTCATACAGTACCAAACATTTGATCAACTCCAAATGGAAATACAAGACACCCCTGTTTTAAAATCCTCCCTACTTCCATGCACAAAGCTTGTGGAAAAAGAAACTGAATCTCCCCAATAAAAGTTAGTATTCCCTGCTCTTTTATACTCCACTACAACTCAAAGGGAATCATTGTCGCTTTACAAAGCACCGTATACTGCACACAAACAGTTAAGTTTATTCGCTTTTGTAAAATTCTCCGACCACTTTACAGACTCCCTCAGACTACAGGCATCTCATTACAGGGCCCCTCGTCTCATTGTGTTACCCCCTCATTTACACTCTACACGGGGCCCTGTTAGCAGCAGGAATGACTCCATGCTCAGAATAAAAATATGTGTGTGTGTGTGTGTGTGTGTGTGTGTGTGTGTGTGTGTGTGTGTGTGTGTGTGTGTGTGTGTGAGGACTTACAGTGGCTGCATAAAAACACAATGCACCTGATTACAACATCTGCATAACAGCTGTGAAGAAGGACCATGTGCTGCAGAGGTGTCTTCTTCTTCTTCTTCTTCTTCTTCTTCTTCTTCTTCTTCTTCTTCTTCTTCTTCTTCTTCTTCTTCTTCTTCTTCTTCTTCTTCTTCTTCTTCAGGGGGATCATTGTTTACTTTAGCTTTAACACAAAGGGAGTGATAAGGCAAAATAATAAAAATAAAAAAAACACTCAGGACTCCAAGTAAAGCAACACAACATGCAGAGTTCAAACTGTATTAAACCCCGAGGGAATTCAGGGGTTCACTCTGGTATTATTTCAACCAGGAGAGACTTGTTTTTTTGCTTAAAGAACATTTATATAAATGTTAATAGTCTTTAGCGATTAGACCTCGATCCTGATATCGCATATCTGAAGGGGGAAATGCAGCCGTGAGCATATTAGGGAAACCCCCCACGGTCTAGACACTGGTGGTGATGCTGAAGATATGGATTTGATGAGGAGAGGGGATGAAGAGGATGCTGAAGATCTGGATTTGATGAGGAGGTGGGATGAAGAGGATGCTGAAGATCTGGATTTGATGAGGAGAGGGGATGAAGAGGATGCTGAAGATCTGGATTTGATGAGGAAGTGGGATGAAGAGGAGGTGTGATGAGGTCTTTGGATTAGCTCTCCTTGGAACTGGATATGATGAAAGGAGGAAAATGGGCTGGAGGCCGCAGCATAAACACCTGAAATCACAGCTGACTGCAGGAGAGAGGAGAACCATTTTTAAAGTTTGACTGCAGCACGATGATTGGCTGCTGGAGATTGAGCTGAAATGTAATTGGATAAAAGAGAACGCCCATAATGAGCTGAGCAGCTGTGGAGAGAATGAACGTAGATCCGGGGTGTTTCTCAATGTCGAGGAAGGCTGCTCCAGAGCCACTATTTCAAGCATGCTACGTCATCGAGTCCAATGTCCAGGATACTTGGAATTCTACCGAGGCCGGCGTCCTTCGTTGCGGGAAATTTCGAGGCTGCACATGTGTATCCTCCGCGGACTTAAAATCCCCACAATGCTTTGCGCACGGACCAATTTCCCAAATCTTTGGCGGAAATCACGTTCCATTTAAGGCGGGGCCTCGCATATGACGCACACCTGCACACTTGTTAGCCTGTTCCACAATTCTTCGTTTTCCGAGGCTAAGAAGGATTCTTGCCTCGCTTCTGAAGCAAGTGACTCGGAAGACATGTGCTACCATTGGTAGCACATGTCTTCCGGAAAAACATGCAATTTCTGAACGTTACAGTAAATATTCTGTTTAAAAAAAAAAAACTTTTCCTTGTCTGTTAAAGTTTTTTTGTGTTTCTTTTTAATGACTGAATCAAAGATATGAGGATAAGGATAGAGGGAGCCGTATGTTGTACAGATTGTAAAGACCTTTGAGCCAAATTCTTATTTTTGGGCTGTATAAATAAAATTGACTTGAAACAGTTGCTGATTTAGAGTACTGGCACCTTTTTTATTCCAATTCAAGCACTGGCTACCAAGCAAGCGTCCTCGACATTGAGAAACACCCCCAGTCTTCCTGAAGGAACTTGCACTGAGCTTCACTAGTAGAGTGGTGGCAGAGTGAAGGGGCATTTTCTTGAGTATTTTATAGATATTATACAGTATAGAGACTCTATCCATGTGATCTTCACCTCACAAATTACAGACACAATCAATACCTTCATTATTTGACAAATCAATCAATTTTTTTCTGATTTGTATACATATAAAATAGCAGCATATAAAGTTAGTCAAATTAGCTTCAACTTGACCAGCTGCAACATAAAAGTGATGAACACATTAAAGGGGACCTATCATGCAAAATGCACTTTTGTACGTCTTTTATACATGAATATGTGTCCCCGGTGTTCCAGGGAACTCACCAAGTGTCAGAAAACACAACCCTCTCTATTTTCCTCCATACCCAAATCTCTAAAAACGGGGCTGCAACGGATCTGATAAAAACTGATCCAGATTTGAACACTGTCCTGACGTCAGGACGGTGGCGCTACGGCTATTGGGCCAACTCCACCAATCAGGAGGAGACAGCCACGGCCATTGCCGTTCGAAAGCGCTGGAGACGCTGTAGTACATATGCCAGGCCTGTAGATGGTGCTGTTCTCACAGAATCAGCCCTTGCAAAAACAGAGCTAAAAAAGCAAATTGAGCAAAATGAGGCATGGCTAAAATGCATGATCTGTTTGGTATTTTGAAAAAAAAAAAAGTTTAAATATGCCTTATATAGGTATGGTCCTACACTCTATTATTAAAATATAGTATGATAGGTCCACTTTAAGTAATTATAATTCAGAAATACAAAATATATTATTCCGGCCATTCTGCATAATGAGTTCTCTAAAGAGGTCGTATCATGCTCAGGTTCATATTAGTTAGTGTTAAGAAGCGCAGGTTTGACCCAATTTCAGGACGGACAAATGTTTTAAACTGAAAACACTTTAATTTCAAGGCTAAAGAGAACAGTACTCACTCCCTTGTAAACTCACAGGGGCCAAACACAACAAACAGAGCTCTCTACCTTGTGAAAGACTCAAAGAACCATCAAAGACAAAGAGAAAACCAGATCTTAAATACATACAAGCCCCGTCAAGAAGACAGGTGACCAGAATCAGGTGATCAGACAGGAGGGGAAACACAGAGACAGGAGTTGAACAGATCGAGACACTATTTGTATTTAGTGTCTCTATACTGTTCCTTGCTTTAATGCTCAAAAAGCTCTTTATTTTCCGCATGCTTATATTTTGTAGAATGCAGAACTTTGACTTGTTTAAGATTTATATGAATGGACATACAAGTAAGTTGTTAAACACGTTTAGTAAGCCGTACAGGACGAAACATGTTTGACTGACGGGTGGGTCTTGTCTGTTGGCAGTCTTTACATTTCTTTGGGATCAAAATAACTGTGAGATGTTTTACGAAGATGTTTTACGGGAGTGGTGTGCGTCGTCTGTTAACACGTCTTATAATGTGACCCCAGGAAGCTGAAGGTAATAAAAACAACACGGCCCTCTGCGGCGACCTTTTGTGGCCCAGCAGCCGCCAACACAAACTGTCAGCAGCAGATTAAAGAGTCTGAAAGGACGGACCCCCCAAACATCCATGAAGACATTCGTGAGGATC